TTTTTTAAGTAATGTAAAGTTATAGCTCAGTACATTTTGTTTTCACCAGAGATAGTCAAAGTTGGGGAAGAAAATATCAAAAAGTTAAAAATCGCAATATAGTCCTAATTTTAGAATGGTTCCTTAATATATTTGAACTACATTGCATTTGAGTATGGAGAAGCAACTATCTGAAAGTATTTTACATAAAAACTTTACTAGGTATAGCCTTTTTTGTAGATGCAGTTAAAGAAAATACATGAAAAGGCACCATTTTTCTTTAATTAAAAAAAATTTAAATATTTCAAAAACGGTGACACTTTTACCTGAAAATTTTTTGTTTATCAGAGAGCTCACCACCCCACTTGCCTTCTCCTAAAGTTTGGCAGGTTACTTCTGGAACACCCTGTATAAAGGGCGTTACGTGTAGAATATTTTCAAAGACTCTATTCAGCATCATAAGTAAAATCTTGTGGGACTAGAAAGCTATCGGAGGTTACAAAGTACCTTGTGGCTCTTCTTCTACTACGGTTTCAGTTTCGTCTTCTTCTATTACGGTTTCAGCTTCTGCTGTAGGTGTTGTTGGGTTTCGCAGCAAATTTTCGTTTTCAATTTCGGATACAATTGCGAAAATTTTGTTTTTTGCCTTCATTTGTAGGTCTAGAGGTAGGGAAACAACAGAGTCTGCCATGGCTTTGAAAAATGAATGTATAGGGCTAGGTTCCTTTGGTTCCTGCGTAGCTGTAGCTGGACGAGTATCCAAATAATTTTGTAAAACCCCTGCAACTGATAATTGCTTCGCTTGCCACTTTTTTCTGGCGCTGATACTTTTAAACAATGCTGTCGATGTAGAGGATTGGGGTGAATTTTCTATCTCTGGAGATATTTCTGTTAAATCAGGAGTATAACTTACTCCTTGTTTCTCTTTCTTGAAAATACGGTCGTAAGAACTCCATTTGGTTCTCATACTTCCACTTTTTATTTTTAGAAGCACCGTCTCCACTTTTGGATTTTCGCTTTTTTAAATTTATATGATAGCTATCTCTCAAAGATT